AATATTAAAAAATTAATTAACAAATTAAATACTTGTATATATTTATGTGAACTTGAGCAATAAGAATTATGGTTTAAAAAAAGCTTCAACAAAATCTTCACCATTTTTTCTTTCGTCTGAAGAAAGAATTCAAAATTCATGCATATTATCATTTGAAGCACTTTAAAATCGACATTATTTTTAGCAGTGTAATAACTATCAGACAGTCCAACAAGTTTCAGCATACTTTTGCTATTTATGGCGCGCTTGGACTTGACTTTGGCATCCAGATCAGACGGAGTCCAATAACAACAAACTGTCTGTTCAGCTGACCGCAAGTTAACAAAGTTTTGCCATTTGGCTTTTCTGCATTTTGGCTTAAATTTTGTGCATTGGAATTTTTAACCCTCTCTATTTCTCACCCCATCTCCCTCTTCTGTGTATCTTTGGAAAGGCCAAGACAATTTGCGGCTGCTTTGTGCGACAGCAGCGAAAAGCATAAGGCTTTAATTTGTGTGGCATCAAGACGAGTGGCCCAGACATTTGCTGTGCGCCAGGCAGCCAGCCAGCACATTCGTGTGGCATGCGGCATGCGGCATGCGGCTCACCCGCACCTGTCCTGTGCACTGGAGCGCACAAAAACAAGCTCAACAATTGCCTTATAAATGCCCTCAAACTTGGACTCAAACGGAATGAGTTTTTGGGCAGCAGTGGAAAAAACTTTGATTAATGTGCGCTTAAAGAGCCGGCAAATACGTGAAAGCAGGCACTGCACAAGGAAAAACAAGGACACAACTTTTCATAACTTTAGCACACAGACAAAACAGGAGTAGGAGCAGGAGTAGAAGCAGGAGCAGGACAGGCAGACTGGCAGTAGACCGCGTGCAGCCGGCGGCTTCTTAGCCAAAGCGCAACAAAAACTTATGCAATCAAGGCAAAGGCGTACAGGAGGCGGCTACAACAGCATAAAACAGGGCCAGGACCAAGGCTGTTGGCACTGCAGCAGTTTCAAGGCGCCGCACAACAATGTCAGCGACGGGCAGCCGAAGGAATCACAGCGAAAAAGCGTTAAAAAATGAATTGTAAAACAAACAGCAAACAAACGAGCAACATTCGCTAAGGGCACGCCCACACACACACACACACAGGCACAGGCACAACATGCTGCTAGCAGGCAGCCACAAAGTAGCCAGCGACCCGCAGCGACCCGGGACCAGCAAACGAGGTCTGCTCCAGGCGGGCGATATCTGCAACGTCAAAGTCAGCAGACCGGTTCAAGCTCACCCGCAGCTACCATCTCTCTCTGCCCCTCTCTCTCTCTCTCACTCTATCTCATACTCCTGCTCAGCCTCAGCGGCATCCAGAGCCACACGCCCGCGCCCGCGCTGGTTAATAGAAAATGTAATTCGATGCATTTAATGTTGGCAATGCCAAACGCTGCAGGTTGCCCTCGAGTCGCAGCCGAGGGTATGCGACGAGCCCGATACCCAGGTTCAGGTTCAGGTTGAGCTTCGCCTCCTGCTTTTTTATGAGTTTGCATTTGGCTGCTATTCATCCAGCGCCATCGACGTCGTCGTCGCCGTCATCGTCGTCATCGTCGTCATCGTCGTTGACGTTGTTGTGTTTGAGTTGCTTACCTAATCCTTGCAAACAAGTTAAAAACGTTGTAAAACAAACAACAAACAAAACGAAATGAGTGGCAACTGACGCTGACGCTGACGCCGATGCCGACGCTGGCGTTGGCGTTGGCCTCGACTGTGGGGCTGCGCACGGCTGGCATGGCTCTCAGATGAGCTGCCCACCCAGCGCTAAGGGTAATCAGGAAATTAGGAGCGAGCAAAAAATGCTGCATACTTTTCGGGGACGAACGCTTCAGCAAATACAGCAAAAAGACCTAGAGATGATTAGAGATGGGCTAAGTTGGAATATATATGTGAATATATATTAGAGAACTGTCTATAACAGTTATTGATCTTGATCTTTGTATAACAGAGAGGGTATAACAGAGATATAATAACAGAGGGCATAACATAGCAGAGACCATAGCTCAGAGAGCCTAACAGAGAGTACAGTATGTATTTTTCAGAAAGACAGTGTAGTTCTTCAACGAAGCCGTTTACATAGAGGAAAATACATTAATATAAAATACCAGCATATGAGATGAAATCTGGGATGAGTTTAAAATATTTTTGACTTATCAGCCATGTTTATTTTTTTTTTAATAAATGTTTATTAATTATTAACCTACTGATACATTGACTAATTAAAATACTAGTTTTTTCCACCACTTTATAAAAATTACCTGCAAATGCATAATCAATTTTCGTAATTTTACAAAATTCAGTCATTGCATACATCTTCTTCGCGAAGCTCTACATATGGTAAGCAAATAGTCAGCTTCCAACTATCCAACTATTCAAACTAAAAATAATGCTGTTCACACGCTCACATCTCTAATTTGGTTATTGGCTTTTTTTCTAGACCGTTAAAAACAGTTTCGATGTTCCTGGTTGGAAATTGTCAGTCGTAAAGCCAGACGCATTGGGCAAATGGAAACGATTTTGACTGACATCGAGTGCCATGAGAAATACAAACAATCATCAGGCAGCCAGGCAGTCAGGCGGGCATGCACCACTCCTGCCCCGCCCCTCGACAGTGCCCACCCTCATTTTGGTAACCTCAGCAACCTGCGCCGCGTGCCACAGCAATGACAAGCGGCGCGGCAGCGCTAATAGAAATTAAACGAAAGTGCTGCACGACTGATGGCTGCTGCTAGAGGAGTGGGCGGAGGAGGAGGAGGCGAGTGTGTGGGCTGGCTGGAGTGAGTGTACCTGGGTGGTTGCCAGCCAACTGCAAATTCGAGCCACCCTGCAGCGAGCGTGTGAAGGTCGAGCTGGAACGAAGTGCAGCACCAGCAGCAGCAGGAGCAGGAGTGGGCGCAGGAGCAGCAGGAGTGGGCGCAGGAGCAGCGAAGGGCGCACATTTCGCTTTCATTTCGTTTGCTGGTTGTTTTTTCTTATTTCGGTACTATTTACATTTGCTTTTATTAATCATAAAAAATGCTGAAATAGTCGAAATTGGCAAACGGCGAACGGCAAACGGCAGGACGCGGCTTTGGCTCCTTTGGATCCTTTGGCTGCTTGGTTATGCCGCACGGGAACGTGCACGAAAGCGCAATTTGATTTTAATGGCGGCAAAATGTTGAATGTTCGTCGCACAGCTCAGCCAGGGAAACAGACAGACGGACACATGGACAGAAACAGGCAGACAGACAGACAGACAGACAGACAAACGGGCAGGACAATCAGACAGACTAGCAAAGCAAACACGCAGACAAACTGATTGTTGTTTCATTTCTCTTATTTTTTTTCGTTTAATACTCGTTCAGTTTGGATAAAGAGGCATATTGGGTTTTTGGCTGGCCTATTGCAGCTAGAAGCTTAAAATTATATCTGTATATACTGATGTTTTATATACAGAGATAGAGATATTTTGTAGTGTATAAATGAATATGCATATATGTAATTGCTATTGGGGGCGTGGTTGCTCAACACTATTAAAGCTACATAGTACATAATTATCTCGCAAAGAGCTGAAATGATCAGATGCCTCTTAAAAGCTTTAAAAATCTGAAGAATTGTTTAGCATTTGCAATATCTTGGAATTTGGAATATAATTTCATATATAGCATACTCAGATATATTATATATAATATATCTACAGTCGAGTCCTGATAATTTGAAAGGGCAAGAAGGCAAGCATTAACAAGTCAGTTAGGCTCAACTCTAACGCATTTTTTATGCGCTGCTCCTGCTGCTGCTCCGGCTCCTGCTGCTGCTCCTGCTCCTGCTGCTGTTGCTGTTGCTGTTGCTGTCTTTCCATGCAATCAGGCGCCATTTGTTGACGTTTGTCTGTGTTGGTGTTTGTTAATCTGCCTGCTGCATGCTGCATGCGTACGTGAGTGCGTCTAGGTGTGAGTGTTAGCAAGTGCATGGCTCACACACACACACATACGCAGTGACACACGAATACATGCAGGCGCACTTAGCTAAGCCGCCTGCTCCATTTTGCATGCCCCGGGCATTTGATTGCTTATGAGTGTGAGTGTGTGTGTGTCKGTGTGTGTTTGTGTCCTGCGTTCATTTCATTTGTTTGTTTGCTTGTTTGCATTCAATGCATGTGCGTGCGCGTAGGCGCACGGCCACTCGTCACTGTCATTAATGTCATTGTTGTTGCCTCCGCCGCGCCGTGTCAGTGTCACCAGCAAAGTCAAAGGCGGTGGGAGTGGCAGTGGCAGTGGCAATGGCATTGGCAATGACCGGCCACAGCAGTGCGTTCCATAGCATATTTTAAATATTTAAATGGAATACCTGCCGCGCAGGCCTTTAATTAAACGGGTCCCAGCCCCAGCGAACAGCCCCCTAAAGCGAGGCCTTACTTTATTGATGAGCTGCCATTTAATCAACTAATAATTGGAGACGTCTTCAAGCAAGCACGCACAATTGTCATTTGGGGCAACACACACACACATACACAAATATACATACAAATATATATGTATGTATGTGCATTTGGTTATCCATTATGTAAGCCCTGCAACATTCCGAAAATTTATAGCCGCTGCGCGATCTTTGATAAGAGGCGCAACAACACTTTGTGCACTGCAAGGCTGCTGATAGAAGGAAGCGGCGCGGCACGCATGCTATGCTATGTAAATCCACGTTAACAGACGTTTCACTGTACACAATCGGCGAACGATTGCGTTGGCCCCAGGGGCGACGGCGATGCTGCTGCTACTCCTGCTGCTGCTTTTGTTGCTGCTGATGTTTGCAGAAAGTCAACGACAAGTCACATTGGGCTACGGCCATAGCGAGCCATGGCCACCCTTCGACAAGGACGTCGCGACGTCTGGTCGGGCGTGTGCCACTGATAAGGGTCGCCCGAGTCCATGGACGGGCGGTTCACTCAGTGCAATGTTGCATGGGATTTACTCTAGTTTATTTGTTAATGGTTTATTTATTAATTCCTGCGGATTATCACGTCAGACAAGSCATCACAACAACAACAACAACAACACAACGGCGAGATACAGCACGGCAATGGACAAAGGACAGAGCGAACTGCGAACGGAAACGAGCGACCGCACACGGAAACGCATATGGCAGGCACTCAGGGTGTGCGAGTGTGTGTGTGTATATATGTGTGTGTGTGGAGTGCATTGTTGGCTGCGATAACGTTTATCGCCCAACGGGAATTTGTTGCTAATAGCCAATGCAACATGCTCTAATCTTTAAGCCCGGCTTGTGGGGGGCGGGGGTGGGCATGAGAGGGTGTGGCCAAAGTTTGTGCAAATTGAAAATTTGTGTTCGCCTTGAAATCATGCATTAATAATGCTCAAATACTAAATAGTTTAGCTCGCACACACACACACACACGCACACACATGCAAAGTGCCAGGAACATGCGTACACAATTTCCTAAATCCTCTGCAAGTCATGGCGGAACGTGGGTAGAAACCGCCCGGAAATTTGAAATTTTGTGCAAGCTGAAGAAACTCCTTCATGCCAAGGACTCGACTCCGCATCCAGCTCCCAGCTTCAGCTTCAGCTTCAGCTGTTGCCTGGAGTGCGTTTGACAGCACGCATGTCGTTGTCAATGTCTACAGCGAAGTGGTGTTCAGGCGTGTGTGAACTTCCGCACATGCACACACACACACACAAACACACTCACAAAAATCTTGCAGCAGTCACTGTGAAAATCTTTCAAATATAAGCAATTAGTATATAAATTTTGCCAGCAAATATTGCCAAGGGGCGAATTCGGCTGCTGCTTGGCATTCATGGACATCAACCCGACACTTTTGTAGCTGGCCGAAAACCTTTTAAAGTATTCAATAACAGTGAAACTCAAGCCTCGCTTCTCGCTCCTCGCTCCTCGCTCCTCGTTCACTTTGCGCGGTTTGCGCTGATGGACATGCCAGCAAATTGAATTTCTCACGCCTCACTATACAAACATACATATATATACAAATACATATACAAATACATATAGATCGGCCTGAAAATTTGTAATTTTGAGTTAAATTTGAGCAAGATACAAATGCAGAGAGAAGCAGGGTATAAAAATGCCAAGAGACTTTGCCGGGTCGGCTGACAGGGCGTATCCCTTGCCCCTTGCTCACACCAATCAAATAAAAACAGAAGCAAAATGAATATATATACATCGAAATATTTCGAGTCAAGTTTCTCATTTAACTTGGCAGCGAGTCCCCATTAAGGGAATCGAATTTCATTGAGCTAAAAGTATTTTGCATTTTGTTTATTTTATTTGCTTAAATTATTTATATATATGCCATTTATTTTTATGCTGGCATTAATAATTAGCACGTTCATTCCCTTCAAATAAACACAAGTATAAATAAATAATCGAGCTAAATATGTTATCTAACTGCTTTGATGCTTACGTCATTTGAATCAGGTTTAGGTCAAAGGGTCAATGTGGGAAAATTGCGAATGGAAAATGTATGACTGAGTGATAAATGTGGGATTTTAGGAAAGATAATAGATCTAACTTAGCAATAGCTATCATCTGTTAAAAATAAGTTTATATCAGAAACTATATCAGCTTAAAAATTTAA